AGCATATTTTCATGTGTCTGTTTCCATCTGGATGTCTTCTTTGGAGAAGTGTCTATTCATGTCTTCTGCCTATTTCTTCACTGGATTATTTGTTTTTTGGGTGTTGAGTTTGAGATGTTCTTTATAGATTTTGGATACTAACCCTTTTTATCTGAGATGTCAATTGCAAATATCTTTTCCCATTCTGTTGGTTGTCTTTTAGTTTTCTTGACTGTTTCCTTTGCTATGCAGATGCTTTTTGTCTTGATAAGGTCCCAATAGTTCATTTTTGCTTTTATTTCCCTGCCTCTGGAGACATGTCAAATAAGAAGTTGCTGTGGCTTAGGTCAAAGACATTGGTGCCTGTTTTCACCTATAGTATTTTGATGGTTTCCTGTCTCACATTTAGGTCATTCATCCATTTTGAGTTTATTTTTGTATATGGTGTAAGAAAGTAGCCCAGTTTCATTCTTCTGCATGTTGCTGCCCAGTTCTACCAGACCCGTTGGCTAAAGAGACTTTTTTCCATTGGATACTCTTTCCTTCTTTGTTGAAGATTGGTATATTTGTGGGTCCATTTCTGGGTTCTCTATTCTATCCTATTGATCTGTGGGTCTGTTTTTATGTCAATACCATACTGACTTGATGATTACAGCTTTGTAATACAAGTTGAAGTCCAGGATTGTGATGCTCCCAATTTGTTTTCTTTTTCAACATTACTCTGGCTATTTGTAGTTTCATACAAATTTTAGGACTGTTTGTTCTAGCTCTGTGAAGAATGCTGGTGTTATCTTGAGAGGTATTGCACTGGATGTCTAGATTGCTTTGGGTAGCATCAACACTTTAACAATATTTATTCTTCCATTCCATGAGCATGGAATGTTTTTCCATTTGTTTGGATATTTTTCAATTTCTTTCATAAGCTTTCTATAGTTTTCAGCATACAGATCTTTTACCTCTTTGGTTAGGTTTATTCCTAAGTATTTTATGGTTTTTGGTGCAGTTGTAAATGGGATTGATTCCCTGATTTCTCCTTCTGTTGCTTCATTATTGGTGTATAGAAATGCAACCGACTTCTGCACATTGATTTTATATCCTGTGACTTTGCTGAATTCATGTATCAGCTTTAGCAGGTTTTTTGGTGGAGTCTTCCAGATTTTCTATGTAGAGAATCATGTCATCTGTGAAGAGTGGAAGTTTGGCTTCTTCTTTGCCAATTTGGATGCCTTTATTTGGTTTTGTTCTCTGATTGCTGAGGCTAGGACTTCCAACACTACGCTGAACAACATTGGTGAGAGTGGACATCCCTGTTATTTCTGATCTCAGGGGGAAAGAGCTTGGTTTTTCTCCATTGAGGATGATATTAGCTGTGGTCTTTCCTATATGGCTTTTATGATGTTAAGATATGTTCCTTCTATCCCGAGTTTTGTGAGGGTTTTATCAAGAAAGGATGCCATGTTTTGTTGAATGCCTTTTCTGCATCTGTAGACAGGATCATATAGTTCTTATCCTTTCTTCTATTAATGTGGTGTATCACATTGATTGATTTGCAAATATTGAACCAACCCTGCAGCCTAGGAATGAATCCCACTTGTTCATGGTGAATAATTCTTTTAATGTACTATTGAGTTCGATTTGCTACCATCTTGTTGAGAATTTCTGCATCCAGGTTCATCAGGGATATTGGCCTGTCATTCTCCTTTTTAGTGGGGATTTTGGTTTTGGAATCAAGGTAAGGTAATGCTGACTTCATAGAATGAGTCTGCAAACTTTCTTTACATTTGTATTTTTTGGAACAGCTTGAGTAGAATGTCTGGTAGAATTCCCCTAGGAAGCCATCTGGCCCAGGACTCTTTTGTTGGGAGATTCTTGATAACCCATTCACTTCTTCACTGGTCTGTTCAAGTTCTCTATTTCTTCCCATTTGAGTTTTGGTAGTATATGAGTGTCTATGAATTTGTCCACTTCTTCCAGATTGTCCAGTTTATTGGCATATATAGTTTTTCATAGCATCATCTTACACTTGTACTTCTGTGGTGTTGGTTTTACTCTCTCCTCTTTTATTTGTGATTGTATCTATTTGGATCCCCTTTCTTTTCTTTTTGAAGTCTGGCTAGGGGGTTATCAATTTTTTTTATTCTTTCAAAAAGTCAGTTCTTAGTTTCATTAATCTGTTTTACTGTTTTCTTTTGGATTCTATTTATTTCTGCTCTAATGTTTATTATTGCCCTTCTTCTGCTGGCTTTGGGCTTTATTTGCTTCAGCTTTTCTAGGTGTAAGGTTAGGTTGTGTATTTGGGACCTTTCTGACTTCTTGAGATAGGCCTGAATTACAATGTATTTTCCTCTTAGGACTGCCTTTGCTGCATCCCAAAGGGTTTAGACTGTTGTGTTCTCATTTTCACTTGCTTTCACGTATTTTTAAGTTTCTTTTTAAATTTCGTTTAACCTATTCATTCTTAAGTAGGATGTTCTTTAACCTCCATGTATTTGGGGGCTTTCAAGTTTCATAGTGTTGTGATCTGAAAATATGCACGGTATGATCTCAATCTGTTTGTACCTTTTGAGGCTGTTTTGTGACCCAATATATGATCTATTTTGGAGAATGTTCCATTCTACACACTCGAGAAGAATGTGTATTTTGCTTTATTATGAAAAATTCTGAATATATCTGTTAAGTCCACCTGGTCCAATGTGTCATTCAGAGACATTGTTTCTGTACTGATTTTCTGCCTACATAATCTGTCTATTGTTGTAAGTGGTGTATAAAAGTCTCTTACAATTATGGTGTTTATCAGTAAATTTGCTTCTGTTTGTGATTAATAGATTTATATAAGTGGGTGCTTCCACACTGGGGGCATATTTACAATTATTAAAACTTCTTGGTGCAGAGAACCTTTAATTATGATATAATGCCTTTTTTGATTTGTTACAGTCTTTCTTTTCAAATCTAGTTTGTCTGATGAAAGTATGGCTACTCTGGCTTTCTTTCAACGTCCATTAGCATGATAGATGGTTCTCCATCCCCTCACTTTCAAGGAGTCTCTTGTAGGCAGCATATTGATGGCTCTTGTTTTTTTATCCATCTTGAAACCCTATGTCTTTTGATTGGGGCATTTAGTCCATTTACATTCAGAGTGATTGTTGAAAGATATGAATTTAGTGCCATTGTGTTTTCTGTAGATTTGATGTTTGTGGTGATATCCCTGGTCCTTCTGTAGTCTTTGCTGCTTTCCACACACACAGTACCCCTTAGGATCTCTTGTAGGCCTGGTCTAGTCATCACAAACTCCTCTAGTCTTCTTTTTGTCTGGAGAACTCTTTTTTTTCTCCCCTTCTATTCTGAACGACAGCTTTGCTGGATAAAGGATTCTTGGCTGCATAATTTTCCTATCCAGCATGTTGAATATTTCCTGCCACTCCCTTCTGGCCTTCCAAGGTTCAGTGGACAAGTCTGTTACTACCCTTATGTGTCAACCCTTGTAGGCTAAGGATCGTTTGTCCTTAGCTGTTTTCAGAATTCTCTCTTTATCTTTGTATATTGCCAGAGTCACTAGGATATGTCATGGTGTTGACCTGTTCTTGTTGATTCTGAAGGGAGTTCTCTGTGCCTGTTGGACTTAGATGCCTGTTTCTTTCCCCAGATTAGGATAGTTTTCAGCTATAATTTGTTCAAATAAACCTGCCCCTTTCTCTCACTCTTCTTCTTCTGGAACTCCTATGATATGGACACTCGTTTCATTTCATGGAATCACTTAGGTCTCCAATTCTCCCCTCGTGATCTAGTAATTTCCTCCCCCCTGCCTTTTTCTTTTCAGCTTATTTTCCAAAATTTTATCTTCTATTTCACCTCGTCTCTCCTCTGCTTCTTCCATTCTCGCTGTCATTGTTTCTAGTTTATTTTGCATCTCAGTTATAGCATTTTTTAATTCATCATGACTAGTTCTTAGGTCTTTGATCTCTGCAACAAGAGTTTCTCTGGTGTCTTCTATGCTTTTTTCAAGCCCAGTTGTTAGTCTTATGACTGTTATTCTAAATTCTTGTTCAGATATATTACTTATATTTGTTTTGAACAATTCTCTGGCCTTGCTTTCTTCTTGAAGAAATCTTGAATTCTCTTTTGGGGAGAATTCCTCCGTTTTGTCATTTTGGCTAAGTTTCTGTGTTTTGTGTTTTAAAAGCTTCTTCTGTGTCCTGCACCTGAGTGTACTACTATATTAAAAAGGGGTCATACCTATCCAGGCCTGGCACTCCAGGTATTTTTGGTATATGTGGTGTGCACTCTGTTGTACATTTTGGCTGCTCATCCTAGTGATCAGTACTGTGCAGAGCTCCTCTTTGCTTGTAGTGGCGGAATGTGTGGGCCTTCAACCAGATGTGCTTTAATGTTTTTGATGAAGTAACCAACTCACCCCCCAAAAAAGGAAAGAGGGTGGAAGTCTTAACCCATAAAAAGAGAAAAATGAAAAGGGAGAAAAGAAATCCAAATAGAGAATCAAAAAACTATAAGGCTAAATTCAGGGAGAGAGAGAGGAAAATAAAGAAGAAGAGAGAAGGTGGAAAAAGAACAGAATAAAAATGACTAATAATATATTATATATATATATAATATATTATTATTTATACACACACACATATATAAGAATTGTATATAAGAATTGACCAAAAACAAATCAGAAACTTTGAGCCTGATTCCAAAAGAAACATAAAAGAGGGAAGAGAAAGAAAAAGAAAAGAATAAAGGAAAACAAACGGAAAAACAAACAAAAAGAAACACTTGTGTGTTGGTGCCGGGGACCAGTGGCTGTGCTGGTCTGGAGGAGAGGCCAGCTGTGTTGTATCAGTCAGTCTTCCTCCATTAAGTAAGCAGTTGCCATATGGGCAGAGTTTGGTGTAAGCTGGTCTCGCCTCCACTAGGGGCCACTGAGGTGCTCTCTTAAGTCCCACTGTGTTGGTGTTGGTGTTGGGGAGAAAAATGTCAACCCCCCAATCTCTCTTCCCTGGACTGGGTATCTCAACCCACACTGTTCAGGCAGTCCTCACAGAATAGTTAGGGGAGTCAGCTTGCCCTGATCCACAGTTCCTGCACCTTCTAAGTGCTCAGCTGGGATTCATAACCCAAAGTCTCAAAGGACCCAGCTCAGTGGGACTCCTTTTCCCCGTTCTGGAGTAGAGCCACCCGACCCTGCTGATTTAAAAGGCCTCTGGCTGGCACCTGCAGGGTCTCTTTTCCTTGGGGAGGCAATATACCGTCTTCACAAAGTACTCCAAGAAGGGGACTGTTCTCTCCCAGTACTCCTCTGAGATTCTACACCATGCTATGTGCTTTGGAGCTGGCTTCCTCCTCCCCAGAAGCATGAGCCAAGGCTTCCAGCTTGGTTCCACAGAAAGCCACGCACTTTTGAAATCTCCTTGTTTCAGCTTCTAAGGCTTTTTTGCGAAATAGAACCTGGTACTCTCCATATTTTTTGTTCCCCAGTCTGTGGTCCAGAGAAGTTTTCCTTTTGTGCTAATTTGACATTGGAATTTCACAGCCCCTCTCTTTCTCTCCCTTTTTTCTCTCCACAGAAGGGGTTCCCTCCCCTCTGTGCCTATGCCGTTTTATCTCCCCCAATTCACATACATGTACTTGGAATCTGCCAAGCTGTCTCCCTGCAACTGTGGAGATACTTCTGCCACTCTGCATATCTATTTCCTGGATGTTCAAGTGATCTGACCGAAATAGAGCTATGTTTGAGGGACAAGGAAAATCCCAGTCCCCTTACTTCTCTGCCATCTTAACTTCTCCCTCTCCAATTTCTAGTTCTTGTTTTTCAGTTTTACTGAAGTATGATTGACAAATAATCATTGTATATACTTAAGGTATGTTAACAGAGGGTTGTTTTACATATGGTCTACCACAATCTATTAAGGACTACTGAGAATTGTACATTGTGCATCAGCTTTTGCTACCTGGTTAGAAAGCATTCATAAGCTTCAATTAATTTTCATTCATTTCTATATAAATATTTAGAAATCCTGATAATACTAGTTTGAACAGAGTAAAGAGCATGCTTTTTCAAATTCCTTCCCTTTACACATTAAAAAAATAAAATCAGAGTTAAATACATGCTCCTTTATCAAGGTACATATAGCCTGCCTGATTAAATTCTCAATTTCACAAGTATAAAAATTTTAAAACCAAATTTCTAGGATATAAAAAAAGTGATTTTTCATGGATAACTATAAAATCAAAATCACAATAATTTGTAATCTCCATTTATAAATGAGGAAACTGAGGCACGTAAGTAGAAAGTAGAATGAGATTCAAATCCATACAAGTTATGAGATGCCTAGAATAGAAAATTATAAATTAAAATTAAACTCCTTTATGTATAATCACAAAAATGTTCAGTGTAGAAAACAGGATATATGTATGTATAATATATATATATATGTATACCAAATACATATATATATACGTATACCAAATACATATATATACATATACCAAATACATATATATACGTATACAAATACATATATACACATATAACAAATACATATATATACATATATATATAACAAATACATACGTGTGTGTGTGTGTGTGTGTATATATATATAAAAAACAAATATTTCAATTACTATGAGGGAGGACAAAAGGAGAGAAAGTAACTTGGAGAAGTATAATTTTGAAAAAATATAATTCTATGATCTTAGAAAACTGAAGAGAACACAGTATGAAAATAAAACACAGAAAAATGAAAAATGTAAATTTAGGTGAGTGAATAATTTTAAAAATTTTCTTGGGAATTAAAATATTTTAATAAGACATAAAAATCACATCAAAAGCTTTATGATTCAATTAAAACATACATTTTGTAACTATATAACAATTAGGGAGGGTATATATTATACGTTTTGTTAGCTGTTAAATGTATCTTGTAGAAAATCAGTATGTATTAATTTTGCTGTTCCACTATTATCATTCATAAATAATGATTAACAGAGATTTAAAAAATTCTGTTAATTCAGAATAAAATTTTAAAAATATATGTCACTCACTTGATTGGCTAGTTGTAATTGTTCTTGAAGATTCCTGACTGTTTCATCATCTGTATATATATCATTTCCCATATCTGTGCCAAAGGGAAGGGTCTCCAGTTGCTTTTCAACAGCATCTTTTAATTCACTGTGCAACCTTCAGAAAAAAGTTAACACAATAGTAATATAAATTCATTTTACTAGCAGTAATCACTTTCAGAATCAACTAAAAAAACATTTTGGTCAGAAATCATTCTTTAAAATGAAAGTTCTTCACACAAAAGTCATTTTTAAGTAGCCCTCAAAAATTAGAAGTTTTAATCACCATTAAATACTGCACTACAAGTGTAAAAATATAACAATTTCAAACGCACTAAATTGTCATAATTAATTCAAGCATAATTCAGTTTGTCCTAGAAAGATTTAAATTTTTCAAACAGGTAAAATTCAGATATTACACCCTATTAATTGATGAAAAAGCCATTCAGAAATGTAAATACAACAATGGTTTCATCTAGTCAATTAAAAGGAAATGTGATATAAAATTCTGTAGAATTATTTATTTTTTCCATTGCATTTCATAAATCTCAGTTGACTTACTAGATCCAGTTAATAAACAGAATAAAATTGTTGCTGGTTATGAAATTAAGACTATTAGTAGAGGCACAGTATTCAGCTAGAGCATAACTCTGAAAGCCTTAAATTCAATTTTAATGTTAACATTAAAGTAAATTACACATATGTATTATGTTTTAAACAGCTACCAAAAAAAAAGTTATAGAAAGGTACATCTAAAAAGACAGATTAAGTGTTTTATTTTAAAACCTAAGAGGAAGAAAAAAAAAATTGTAATATCGGAGAAACTGAAAACCCTTAACTCATACAATTATAAGCAGAAATGTCATTTATAATAAACATATCTCATGGCAAGTTTCCCAAAGAAACTGCATCCACCTATTTAAAATAAAGACAATTGGGGCGCCTGGGTGGCTCAGTCGGTTAAGCATCCGACTTCGGCTCAGGTCACGATCTTGCGGTATGTGATTTCGAGCCCCGCGTTGGGCTCTGTGCTGACTGCTCAGAGCCTGAAGCCTGTTTCAGATTCTGTGTCTCCCTCTCTCTCTGACCCTCCCCCGTTCATGCTCTGTCTCTCTCTCTCTCAAAAATAAATAAACGTTAAGAAAAAATTTGACAATAAAATAAAGACAATTATCTACTGATATTAAAAAATCTCCATTGAAACTAGAAAACTTCAATTTAATATTTAGAATATATTTACTGAAAACAAAGTTCATCAAACACAGTTTGGATAATTTAGGAACAACAAGAAATTACTCCCTAAGGAAAGTACAGAATTTGCTAATTATTTCCTAGGTAAAAATTTTAAAAGTATTTAGAATTATCAATAACACAAAGGTTCATATTTTAAAATATTTCTAGTATTTTATGTTTTTCACTTTTATTCAATTTTTAACTCTAGTTCTAGTATAGTTAACAGTGTTATATTAGTTTCAGGTGTACAATATAGGAATTCAACAACTGCATACATTACTCAGTTCTCATCACAAGTGCACTCCTTAATCCCCATCATCTATTTCACCTATCCCCCCACCCATCTCCCCTCTGGTAACCACCAGTTTGTTCTCTATAGTTAAGGGTCTGTTTCTTGGTTTATCTCTTTTACTCCCCACTGTTCATTTGTTTTGTTTCTTAAATTCCATGAGTGAAATCATACAGTATTTGTCTTTCTCTGACTCATTTCGCTTAGCAACTCTAGCTCCATCCATGTCACTGCAAATGGCAAGATTTCATTCTTTTTTTTATGGCTCAATAATATTACGTTGTCTTTATCTACAACATCGTTTTTATCCATTCATCTATGAATGGACACTTAGGCTGCTTCTATAATGTGGCTACAGTAAAAAATGCTACAATAAACACAGGATGCCGCATATTATCTTTTAGAATTAGCGTTTTTGTATTCTATGGGTAAATACCCAGTATTATTATTATTGGATGGTAGGGTAGTTCTATTTTTACTTTTTTGAGGAACTTCCATACGGTTTTCCACAGTTGCCGCACCAGCTTGCGCTCCCACCAACAGTGCACAAGGATTCCACATCACTGCCAGCACCTGTTTCTTGTATTTTTGATTTTAGCCATTCTGACAGGTATAAGGTGATATCTCATTGTAGTTTTGATTTGTATTTCCCTGATGATGGGTGATGTTGAGCCTCTTCAGATGTTGGGCATCTGTATGTCTTTTTTGAGGAAATATCTGTTAATGTTGTCTGCCCAGGTTTTTTTTTTGTTTTTTGGGTTTTTTTTTTTTGGCTTTTAGGTTTACTTATTTGAGAGAGAAAGAGAGAGTGAGCATGAGCAAGGGAGGGGCAGAGACAGAGAGAGGGAGTGAGAGAATCCCAAGCAGCCTCCACACTTACCACAAAGGCTGACATGGGGCTCGATCTTGCAAACTGTGAGATTATGAACTGAGCCGAAATCAAGAGTCAGACGCTTAACAGACTGAGCCACCCAGATGCCCCAATATGTTGAAATTTAATATAATTACTACTATTTGGGGGCTTACATCTACTATCTTAGTATTTGCTTCCAATGTGCCCCATTTTGATTTTCTCTCCTTTAATGCTTTCTTTTATTTTAAAAAATGTGTTTATTTTAGATGACTCTATTTAAAAAAGACTTAATTGTTTAGCAGTTTTAGGTTCATAGCAAAAGTGAGCAGAAAGTACAGATTCCCTAATATATCCCTTGACCCCCTTGCCATGACCTCCCCCACTATCAACATCCCCCACCAGAGTGGTACATTTTTGCAACTGGTAAACCTACACTGACACCATTACCCAAAGTCTATAGTTTACATTATGGTTCACTCTTAGTATTATAAAACATTCTATAATGACGTGTATCCATCACTATAGCAGCTTACAGAACGGTTTCACTGCCCTAAAAATCCTATGTGCTCTGCCTTTTCATCCCTCTCTTCCTTCACTTCCCTCCCCGCAGCTCCTGGCAACCACTGATCATTTTATCATCTCCATAGTTTTGCCTTTTCTAGAACGTCATGTAGTTGGAATGATACAATATGTAGCCTTTTCAGACTGACTGCTTTCACTTAGTAATATGTTTAGGGTTCCTCCATATCCTCTCATAGCTTCATAGTTCATTTCTTAATATTGCTGAGTAATATTCCATAGGCTGGATGTACTACAGTTTATTTATCCATTCACCTATTGAAGGACATCTTGGTTGTTTCCAAGTTTTGGCAATTGTGAATAAAGGCAGTATAAACATTCATGTGCAGGTTTTTGTGTAGACATAAGTTTCCAATTCCTTTAGGTAAATACCAAGGAGTATGACTGCTGAATTGTTGTAGTAAGATGATGTTTCATATTTTAAGAAACCACCAAATGGTCTTCCTAGGTGACTGTACATTTTGCTTTCCCACCAGCAATGACTAAGAGTTCCTGTTGTTCTATATTGGTTACTTTTTATTATTCTATTTTTCTACTTTATTAACTTGGCAGTTATATGATACTTTACTTTCACTGTCTACCCTAGAGATTAAAACACACACAGAGAATTAACAAAACTCTAAAATAAATAAGTATTCTATTGCTTTTGGGCAATGCTGAAACCTGAGAATACCTTAACTGTATTTACCCTTTTCCCAAATTTATGATATTGCTGCTTTGTATTTTAATTCCCTACAAATACTTTAGAAACATTATTATTGTTTCAGAATAGTTAATGTGATATTCATTACACTTTCTCCCTTAGTTACCCTTTCCCCTCTTTTTGTAGAATATCCTTTTAGGATTTTAATTTTGCTACTGGTAATTTTTTCAATTTCTTTTCATCTGAAAATGTACTAATTTGACTTCTAGAAAAACATTTCACTAGATACATAATTCTAAACTAAGAGTCCTTCTTTCAGCACTTTGAAGATATTGCACTGTCTCCTGATTTCCATCATTTGTTGAGTAGTCAGTTTATGTCTTATTGCTATTTCTTTGAAGACAATTTTTCTGCTTTGAACATTTTTAAAAATGGTCTTTAAATTTGTATTTAATGTTATAGCCATGTATCTAGATATAGATTGTTTGCTTGTTTTTGTATTATCCAGCTTATGATACATGCTGTTTCCTTAACCTGCAGATTGAGGTCTCTCTGTCCTCTCTTTCTCAGGCTTAAGTTATATGAATTTTAGTTTTCACTATTTCCCTTATGTCTCTTACATTATTTCCTGTATTTTTCTATCTCCTCGTCTCTGTGATCTTCACTCTGAATATTTCCTTCAGACTTGGACTGTATTCCATTAATTCCCTCTTCAGTTATGTCTTACTTCATTACCATATGTTTTCAGTTCTGAATTTGTTTGGTTCCTTTTTTAGAGTTCCCTATCCCCTTATCAACATTCTCAAAATTTTGTCTGTTTTCACTGAACATATTAAGCATAGTTATTTTAAAGGCCAATCCTGTGGATTTTTTTATATTGTCTATTATTTATCATTGTTTAAAACTATGCTCTTTAAGATATGAGCCAGATATTACATGGGGAGATATTTTGAGGCCTAGCAATAATGTTATCTTCCTATAAAATGGTCTTCCTTTTTTTTTTTTTTTTCTTCTACATGTGGCTAGCGGCATTATCGATCTCTGAACAGAGATTCAGGTAATTCCAAGCTATGTTTTAGATCTTTTCAGGACTACTAGATTTTTGGGGTCACTCTTACTCATAGGGTACCCCAACCCAATGCCTAAAAGCTTACTGAGCCACTGAGCCTCTAATCTGATGGGCTCTGACTTTCCATTTGAATCTCTCTAGCTCTGTTAATTTGTTTCAAGCCCCATTTTTCAACCTTTGCCTACTCCAGGATAATGAGATATACCTATGAAGGCAGCTCCAAATGCAGGCTCATATCCCTGGATTTCATTATTTTCCTGGTCCTTCCCTAGAATTCTCCAATGAGTTCATTTAAACAGATCTGACTGTTGTCAAATATCTGTCCCAATTTCCTAGTTTTTGTCTAGAATTTCTCGTTTTTGTCAGAAGGAGTCTGATTTACCTAGTCTGCCATCATTGTAAACAAAAATCTCTAGTTCACTTATTTTCAATTTTATTTTTCAATTAATTAC